GCATCCCAACAGAAGAGCTGGCAGCTGGGCAGAGTGCAGTTGGCCTCTGCCGTCCCTTTGCCCCTTGTCCAGAGCCTGATGTCCTGCAGGCTATAGCTGCGGAAGAGCTGGCATCAGAGGCCAGCGGCGCTCTGCCCTACCGACCCCCTTGTTACAGGACTGGCCTGCACCCCCCTCATCCCAGCAGAAGCGCTGGCATCAGGGCAGAGCGCCGCTGGCCTCTGCCCCTCAAGTCCCCACAGCGTGCTGCCCTCTCACCCCAGAGAAATACCCAGGTGCATTAACTGTTTGTTGTGGGTGGGCTGCTCTTGTACTTTGCTGTTGTGGGTGGGTTGTCCGACTAACTCAGACACCGACCGACAGAAGGTCAGGTACCTGGTTAGTCTACCCCCTAAAGGGAAGATATGTGGCGAAAGTAACCGCGCCACTGGTTTTTGGAGGGGCCTGTTTGCCAGCCTCCTGCCCTGCGACTATGGACCTGGGATGTATTGCCTTTTTAGGAACTGATTTGGGCAAAACTGGATTCTTATATTGCTGTTTCTGGCCCTTTAATGCCCAGAGAAAAGATTTGTACTTTTAAACTGGCACTTCGGATGCAGTCAAAGTAGTCGCCATTCGAATACCGAACACGTGGTGGTGGCCATTTTAACTCATTCGAACGCGGTCAGCGGTGTGTGCAGCCAAATCTATGGAATTGTTTTCGGCTACCCAATTGAACGAACACCGTTGACGCGTACGTTATACTCCACTTCGACACTGCGGCTGGATACTAAGTCCCGTGCGAAGATTCGAACACTTGTTCGAATGGGACTTAGTCATTTTCTCGGTGTAAAATAGACCGACCGCACAGCCCAAATCCATGGAACTGTTTTGGGCATGAAAATGTGCTTGCGGTCGGTCAAACGTGACTTATATCTAGCTCCCGAACGGCTTCGAATGATTTTTGGGTATGTTTATATTTAGTATGTGCGGATTAATATGTGACTTATTAATATTGGATGTATAGTTTTAGAGTTATGAAAGTTGGGAAAAAGTATGTTTTAAATTGTACGGATAATTGTGTTACCTCTCAGGCTAATGAGAGGAGATGTATGGGATGTAACCATTTTGTTATTGGGTATTGTATAATTGTCTGTGGGCGTCTCCCTTGCATGAGAGTATTGCATAAAAGCAGAGTGTGTGTCATTAAACCAGAGTTCTTCTTCACCCTCAATCTAGAGTCCTGTCTTCTAAGCTCTTGTAAGAGCATGCTCCTGTGTCCCTGTCTTGGAGGAGAGGTTCACCCACTGGAGCCTGGAGCCTTGTCGTAGGTCCAGGGTGGGTAGGAGACGGCGAGACCCCAACCAAGCTACGGCGGTTCGTGGGGTCTGCGGTGGTTGTGGTGTCTGGTGGAGCGCTTGGAGCCTCTGTAAGCGCTAGGAGCATCCTTCAACGGAGTTACCCAGTCGGGGTGCCAGGTGATCCGTTACAATCCTCTATTAACATACATAAATAATTGAGAATAGAATATAAAATAAGGATTGTCTTGGAAGCAATAAAGTTTTGTCTTATATATATTTATTATATAAAAATATAAACATATAAAATCCATTACAATAATTTATAGCAGAGTTTATAAGATTAAACTAAATGCTTGCAAATATCATTATTAAATTAACATACCCTCTTGAAATGTCATCATGTCAGCCTCTCTGTCATTCTAAGATGGACCGTCTGTCTCCAAGTCTCTCCACTGTCCCTTAACATTTAAAAGTACACCTATTTATACCTTTAGGTGTCTTCATTTTAGGATCACCGTAGTTCATATATGAAAAAGTAACTTACTTTTATTCATTTTACGACCTCCCTTAACTTGGCAAAAATACAAGGCCATAACTAAAGGGTGTGCACATCATGGAAGATTCCCTGACTTAGGACAAGATGGCATCTTAAAGTCTGAACATCTTTACTTATGGTTACCACAGTATATTATGTACTGAAAGAGTCGTAGCATAGCCTTGAAGCTTGTTTATGCATTATTGTTATTGTATTTCGTCTGGGACAAAATGGCGTAAACATATTATGCACTGAAGGCAAGTGTAAAAAAAAGTTATTGCTTAACCCCTGAAGGACACATGACATGTCAGGTAGTCAGACACATGGGGGTGTTGGGTAGTCATTTCAATGATACCTACTGCACTGGGGGTGTTGTAGGTGCAGTAGGTATCATTGTAATGTGTACCCAACACCCCAGTGTAGTAGGTATCATTGTAGTGTCTACCCAACACTCCCAGTGCAGTAGGTATCTGTAACGGATCACCTGGCACCCCGACTGGGTACCTCCATTGAAGGATGCTCCTAGCGCTTACAGAGGGCTCCAAGTGCTCCTAACACCACAACCACCGCAGACTCCACAACCGACGTAGCTTAACTGGAGCCTCGCCGTCTTCTGTCCACCCTGGATCAGCTTCTGTCCGCCAGGACCATGTGGGGAAGACCTCTCCTCCAGGAGAGCGTATCAGGAACAAGCTCTTAAAAGAGCTAAGTGATTAAAAGCTCAGGGGAGTATGCAGAGTATAGCAATCCCCAGTGTGATGATAGCAGCTCCCTCCAATAACGAGACAAGGCAGTAAACAGGATATCATTTACTTAGCTAAGTAAACAGGATATCATTTACTTAGCACCAAAGGGCCTTCTTTTATGCAGGTTTTAACTACATAGGACCACCCACAGGGTTTTACAGAACAACCAATAACAAATGTACATTACAGAAAACACTCCCAGCAATTACACACAAAATCCTCCCCTCTGCCTGTGATCTAATTATGGCACACAATGCTTAACATGATTAACACAGACAGGAAAAATACAGTTTTTATACATGTACTGTAACCTTAAAACCACACATCCAATCTTCCACATATTATTAATCAGCATCCTTGAAATATGAACACTCAAAAATCATGCAGATCCTTCCATTAGTTCAAAAGTTAGTCGGAAGTCCTTTGTGACCGACCGCAGGCACATTTTCCTGCCCAAAACAGTTCCATAGATGCGGTCGGTCAATTTCACACTGAAAAAATGACTAAGTCCCATTCGAACATGCGTTCAAATCTTTGAACGGGACTTAGTCTCTGCAGCTGCAAACGGAGTGTAGGAGAAGGCAAGGGTCAGCTGTGTTCGTTGAAATGTGTAGCCGATTTCAGCTCCATGGATTTGGCTACACATACCGCTGACCTCGTTCGAATGAACAAAGATGGCTGCCGCCACGTATTCGGTATTTGAAAGGCGGCCACTTCGACGACTTCGACTGAATCCGAAGAGCCAGTTTAAAAGTACAAATCCTTTCTTTGAGCATTAAAGGGCCAGGAACAGCAATATAAGCCTCCAGCATGTCCACATCAGTTCCTAGAAGGGCAATACATCCCATAGTCGCAGGGCAGGAGGCAGGCAAGCAGGCCTCTCCAGGACAAAGTGGAGAAGGGCATTTCATCACAGTAACATCTACCCAATACCCCCAGTGCAGTAGGCACCTACCCATATAGTATATATATATATATCCCTGTAATACCCAATGCCAGTAAGAAAACACTGCTTACAGAGTGCCTGTAATAAGACAATTACCCTACACGGAGATACAGACTGTGAAGGAATTGTTCAGTGAAGGTAATCCTATATAAAGCTGTGAATTAGGACATTTATAGCAGTTCTCCAATTATACAAGGTTTCCCTGTAATATGTATGATCTCAGACAGGAGTCCCCTCCATTATCAGGCCTCTCAATGCTTTACAGACATTTCTCATCAATATGTCTCTATTTCCTATTATCTCCTCCTTATCACATTATTAACACTCTCCATATTGCTATCTTAGCGCTAATGGCCGCCTATTGCCCATACTACTAATAAGGATTAATAGGAGCTTTGCCCACATCCATCATGGCGCCGGGTGTGTCACTCCAGGCTCATTATAATAAACAATATCTCTCTATTTCCTATTATCTCCTCCTTATCACATTATTAACACTCTCCATATTGCTATCTTAGCGCTAATGGCCGCCTATTGCCCATACTACTAATAAGGATTAATAGGAGCTTTGCCCACATCCATCATGGCGCCGGGTGTGTCACTCCAGGCTCATTATAATAAACAATATCTCTCTATTTCCATTATCTCCTCCTTATCACATTATTAACACTCTCCATATTGCTATCTTAGCGCTAATGGCTGCCTATTGCCCATACTACTAATAAGGATTAATAGGAGCTTTGCCAACATCCATCATAGCGCCGGGTGCATCACTCCAGGCTCATAATAAACAATATCTCTCTATTTCCTATTATCTCCTCCTTATCACATTATTAACACTCTCCATATTGCTATCTTAGCTCTAATGGCCGCCTATTGCCCATACTACTAATAAGGATTAATAGGAGCTTTGCCCACATCCATCATGGCGGCAGGTGTGTCACTCCAGGCTCATTATAATAAACAATATCTCTCTATTTCCTATTATCTCCTCCTTATCACATTATTAACACTCTCCATATTGCTATCTTAGCGCTAATGGCTGCCTATTGCCCATACTACTAATAAGGATTAATAGGAGCTTTGCCCACATCCATCATGGCGCCGGGTGTGTCACTCCAGGCTCATTATAATAAACAATATCTCTCTATTTCCTATTATCTCCTCCTTATCACATTATT